TCTCCGAGAGGGAGTTCCAGTTGACCCAGGGTCGTGGTGTGTGATCCGGATAGGAGCACACTAGGAAGTCTCGGGTGTATGCGGATGGAAGGGGTACCTTGGTTGGATGTTCTAGGAACACGCCTTGGATGAAACCCATAGGCTTATATGCCGAGGACATTGTGTGGTATTGGTAGCTACCATTCCCGCTTCGTCGTATTTTGTATTCCTATATTCCCCAATTTCTCTAAATCCCTTGTTTTGTCCCGTTTTGAAAAGAGGTTATTTTATATTATTTATATGCATCGAAGTGAGCCATTAGGCGGAGTTTTCTCCAGAACCTCTTGATTACTGAGATATATTCGTATATCTCACCCGTGTTTGGGGCATTATTTCAGGTAGTTGCAGTGGGACTGGAGCTGTGGGCAAGAGGCCCATAGGTTGAGCACTTGGAGATTGGAGGAATTTTGCATTTTGAGGCCACTTTGGCATAGGCTAGACTTAGGGCATGAACATTGTATATTGATTTAGTATTATGCATATTGTATTTTTGTTCATGCCATATTTTGCCTAAGTCTAGTTGTTGACTTATCATGTTGTACTTTGGAGGATTTAATTGTATTATTTATCATTTGGAAAATCATAATTGTGAACTCATGGACCTTGTGTAATATGTAAAGCATGTATGTGATAAAAGGACAATAGGCCTATTTTAAGATAGGATTGTGTATCTATTGTAAGGATGCAAGCAAATGGGACAATATGATTGTAATAATTCTTAGTTTTGATAAAGTATGTAATGAATCATAAATGGATGAGAATATGTCAAATTGTTGTGGGTTGTAAGAGCACCAAGGCATTATTGGTCCTCGAGTGCCACCCTTGTCTATTAGGTACCCTTGAGGCATAATAACACATTTTGATAAAGTGGGATAGGTTGAATAAGCAAAGGAGGTGCCGCTGAAATTTATACTAAAATGACAGTTTTTAAGCTAAATTTGGGAGAGCATATGTTCCTCCACAAAGGTCCAATAGGGACGTGCCATATATCATTTTGAAGCTTGAGATGTCAGCTATATTGTGTCAAAATTTGGTATCATTCGGAGTAGTAGAACTTGCCCAGTTTTCAAATGAATATAGACTACTCCGTTCCGCGCTGTAGAACGCAGCTTCTGTAAGCAGTTTTCAAAAATGCATATATCTCTTATTTCTTACTCAAATTAGGCTTATAATATGTCAAATTAAAGCCCCATGAATCTAGTTTCTTGTATCCAAAATTCATAATTTTCTGGGTAGTGGATCAAGCCCAGTTTGGATTACAACTAATGTTGCTGAAACTTAAAATGTTAAAATGGAAGTGATGTTCCGATAGCAGGGACGGGAACGACTTTGGTTTATGGGATGATAATGCCTTATGTTCAAATGGTGGGAACGAACCAGAAAGGGAACAACTCTTGAGAATGACCCTAGGGAATGACTTATATGTATAGGGAACGTCTCGTGTATGGGGGAACGTCACACGTTCCCAGCTCATACATGATTTAGTAAAATGGATATAACTTGAGCTATAGAGCTTCAAATCGAGTGAGGTTTGGACTTATATGAAGCTAACACATAGGGCTATAACCTGGTAAAGGTTTAGGACCATTGAGTTTATGGATTATTCCCAGTTTAATTTATAAGTTGTTGCCCTGTTTTGTTTAGAGTCTGTTTACAGTCTTGAGGGATCAACTTATGGTGAGCGTATCCAGAGTTATAGAACTCCAAATGAGGCGTGTGATACCTTGTTGGAAAGATAATGGAATCTATTTTAACATACTAAAAGATGGAAAACTAATAATGTGTTTTGCACGCCCAGTAGTGAAAGGATAGAAGCATGTTCAGTGTTAGGAAAAGTGGAAAAACGAGATTTTGCTAAGTTGGTTTATGGGAACCTCTTAGAAACTTAAAATAAATATTGTATGATAGTTAAGCATGTGCAATGTTAATTCCGCATATAGGGTTCAGTTATGATCACAGTTTATATCATTACATTTTAGATTATTTTCAAATTCTTACGTAATGAAAAGGAAAAAGTTTACTCGTATTTTTAGCTAAACTGTTGTGATTTTAACTGCGCTTAATATCATAATCAATGTTAACAATACTGGTACGTAACGGGCTGTTACATGTTTTTTCTCACTTAAAATAATATAAATTTATTTTCTTTAAAAGTACAAACATCAAACCTAAAAATAAACTCAACATTTAATAGGAGTGGATCCTCTCATGTGAAAAAGTGGTCATGTGATCATGTTATTAGATCACAACCACTCATTGATGATGAGATAAGAGAGAGAAAAGTGTATAATTTTTAAATGAGTAGTTGTGATCAAATAACATGACCACATGACCTTTTTTTGACATGAGAGGATCCACTCCCACATTTAATTAAATTAAAAAGGAGTGATATGTCTGTACCAAAGAAAAGAAAAAGATATATATATATATATATATATATATATATATATATATATATATATATATAATTTCATAGGAAAAAATAAGTATTATGTTATAGGAAAAATTTTAGGTCATGTCATAGAGACAGTCATTTGTGGGGCCACTATTTTTAAAATGAAATAAAAGTACAAGAATTGATGGTTCCACTTTTATGTGTTTGTAGGAAAATTACTTGTGTCATGTGAAAGGAGAAAAACATTACTCAATTTCATATTGTTGTTTTTTATTACTTAACTTTTAGAAATAGTAGTTGGATAATAAAATGCACTTTTTTTTATTCAAAAAGGTTTGAAGATAATAACAAGGATAGACTTACTGTTCATGAACATTCATCGTTAATTATGTCACACATCAATTAGTGAAGAGTTATCCTTCCTTTAATTAGTGTATGACGCAAAGAAAAAGGATTGATATGATGGCATTATTCGCTCGTTTGTATGGTTTTTTTTTCTCCAATTTTTTTTTTCTAGAATAAAAATATTTCTCACTTTAAATTTATTTGAATGTTTACTTTTAAAAAAAATAGAAATCACCAAAAAAATTAAATTTTTTTTAGAAGTTAAAAATTTTAATTTAAAAAAAAACAGAAATCAAAAGCTAAATATTTTTTTTCAAAAACAAAATATTTTTATAAAAATATAAATAATTTTAACTTTTGTAAAAAATACTTTTAAAATAAGAAAGAGATAAAAACTATTTTTTTAGAAGCCGAAACAAAAAAGGACAAAGGATTGTGTGTTTGAAAATATTTTAAAAGATTTCTAAGTGAGTTGGTAGTTCATAGAAGTTTTGTTTTTTATGCTCTTACAACTTCTCATCAGCATGCTACCATGCTAATGTTTATTGGAAAATATTTTATTTATGTTGTAGGTAAATAGTTATCTCATATTGTAGAAATAAAATTATAAGTGAGATCCATATATAAAAAGAGAGAAAAAAAGAGTGGTGGGATCCAATCCTTTTTTGTGTATACGAAAGTTGTTTATATCATGTAAAATGAGATAAACATAACCTATATTTATTATGATTACAAATGTTTTAGCTTTCTACATAAGGGAATTCGTACGCGTCAGCCAAGAAAGAACATAAGCCATTTTCTAGACTAACAATTAAGTGTTGCATATGCCATGTATTTATGAATATTCTGCACTTGTTGATAGAAAAATTTTAAGTACTCCTTCTTATGTATGAGATTTCTCTTGCATTGTATTATTAAATATGTATAACCTTATGATTATCAAAAAAATGCATTTACATAGTGGATACCCCACATAGCTAAAATGGTAAATATTCATTAGCTCAAAAAAAGTGCTTCAAAATAACCTCTCTGTTGCAGCACCAAAAACTTATTTGAGTGATGGGTCAAACACTGCTCCAATAAATGGGGTCCTATAATTCTACAGCATATTCTAAATTATTTAATGAGAAAGGACACATTAACCAGAATAAATTTATACCTCTAGTAGAACTGTAGCGAGATTTCAGAACAAATAAATTTCAAATTTAAAAACAAGATTTTAAAAGAGATCCACAATAATAAGTGCCTGTTTAGATCGGCTTTTATTCCTAAAAAAATTTCTTTTTAAAAAAAAATAAGTCTTTTGAGAATTTTTAGATGTTTGAATAACAACTTTTTAAACAAGAAAAATTTAAAATAAAAGTTAAAATGCTGTCTTTTTTTAGCCAGTAGTTGGTTGCTTTTGAAAAAAAGTAAAAATTAAAAGATAATATAAATTATTATTTTTTGGGAAAAATATAATATAAATTTTAAAAATACAATTTCAACCTCATTCTATCATACCTATTTTATCTCTCTTTATCCCTCGATCATGCTATTTTGTCTCTCTTTTATTGTAATTTTATATATAAAAAATGTTTTTATATTATTTTAATACCCAAACAATTTTTTATGTAAAAGTGATTTTCAGATCATACATCCAAACGTAAAATAACTTTATCTTTTAAAAAAAATTCTTTCAAGAAAAAAATAATGCATAAAAAGTCATTTTTTTAAAAGCTCATCAAAACGGGTCCTAAGAAATTCAATATTTGAAATTATTGGGAGAGGTATTAAGAATATCACACAAATCATTGCTTTGTTCACCAAAACAATAATAATAATAATAATAATAATAATAATAATAATAAACATTGTTTTAGGCATCTGAAAAAGACATCCCAATTGCTATTTCAGTGGGTATAAAAGCACCACTTGAAATTAGAGATTCTGAAGTAGGAAATCATTCTGGAATAGTAAGTTCAACAGTAGCTGAATATGCTAAGAGGAATGAAGATCAGATCAAGCATCATTCCCATTGTATGGGAGTAGATGACGATGAACAGAATAAACACTACAGGAATCTGGACCCAAAACCTCGAGATTGGATGGGAGTGGATAGAAATCATGTTGAGACTGACTGTGCTAATATGGAGTATGAAGATACAGAGAATAATGGTTTGCTGAATGATAAGAATAAGCAGGGTTCTCTAACCCCTGCAAAAAGCTTAATCAGTTATCAATGAATGTCCTAATGTGGAATACTCGAGGGGCTGCCAAGAAAGATTTTGGTAGTACTCTTAAGTCCATGGTCAGGAAAAAATCTGTTGATATTGTTGTTCTTCTTGAAACCAGAACTCAAAGCGAGGTGTGCAAAAAATTAATGAAGAAGTTGGGATTTGATAGCCTTTTAGTTCAAGAAGCGTAGGGTTTTGCAGGGGGTATTTGGTTAATGTGGCATAGTTCAAAGATGGATATAGCTCTTCTATCCAAGTCAACTCAATTTATTCATTGTAGAGTCTCTCTTCCTACAGGAATTCATTTCATTTCACTGCTATTTATGCTAGTCCTTCTCAAAATGTTAGAAATAATCTTTGGGAGGATCTTAGAAAACTTAGTGAAACTATGAATAGACTGTGGCTGTTGGGTGGTGATTTTAATGAAATAGCTTACACACATGAGAAGATAGGGGGTGTTCCAGCTAACCTAACCAAGTGTGCTAATTTTTCTTCTGTGCTTGAAGACTATCAAGTGACAGATTTGGGCTGTGATGGTCCTCTATTCACCTGGAAAGGTCCTAAATGGACCAATTTGAGGAGAATTTTTAAACGGCTTGACAGAGTTGTAGCGAATTTGGAGTGGAGAATGATGTTTGATGATGCTAGAGTGTCTTCCCTTCCTCGGATATTATCTGATCACAATCCTCTATTAATAAAGTTATTTGAAAATTCAGATAAGAAAGGTAAGAAGCCTTTTAGATTTTCTGCATCCTGACAGGATCATCAAGCTTTATCCAGGCCAAGTGGGATTCTGATTTTGATTTTCCATATATGTTACAAAGATTGGTGCCTGAACTTAAATATGGAATAAGAAAGTTTTTGGGGATATTGATAGAAGGAAAAATAGTATTACCCAAAAAATTGCCAACATCCAGAATGATTCTCAAGCTCTATTGAAGTTGGAGAATGATTATCAGAATATGCTCATTAATGTTCTTCGTGAAGAGGAGCTTTTTTGGTTTCAAAAGTCCAGGAAGAAATGGATTGCGTACGGAGATAGAAATACTCGTTTTTATCATCTCAGTACGGTTGTAAGAAGGAATTCGAATAAAATCTTCAAGCTTAAAAATGATGGTGAGGCTTGGATTTCATATCCTGATGATCTCAAAAACATGGCTTGCAATTTCTTCAAAACTCTTTTCACCGAAGACATATGTGACAGAAGGTGGATTTCTTCAGGAAACCTTTGGCCTGAACTTATAGAGCCGGAAAAGGATTCTTTAAGCAAAGTCCCGGATGAGATGGAAATTAAACAAATAACTTTCAGCATGGAGCATTCAAGGCACAAGGTATTGATGGTTTTCCTACGTTTTTCTTTCAGAAGAATTGGGATTTAATTAAATCTCAGGTATGTTCCTTAATTAAGAAAATTTGGAATTATCCTGAAGTTTTAGCATAAATAAATTCTACTCTGCTGGTATTAATTCCTAAAGTCCAGAATCCGATGAATATCAAGCAATTTAGGCCAATTTCGTTATGCCCGGTTATTTATAAAATTATCAGCAAGCTTATTGTGAGTCGTCTGAAACCAATTATGAAGAAAGTAATTCTCCTGCTCAATCTAGTTTTGAGCCCCAGCGCCATATTCAAGATATTATCATCATTGTGCAAGAACTGATTCATTCTATCAGGAGAATGCAGGGTAAGAAGTGTTTTATGGTGATTAAGGTGGATCTTGAGAAAGCTTATGATCGTTTAAATTGGAAGTTCATTCATAGAGTGCTTGATTAAATTCAGATTCCTGATAGACTTTCAAAACTGATTATGGCAGCTGTCACATCTCCAAAAACTAACATTATATGGAATGGAAAGTTAACATAGGAATTCCAACCAAGCAGAGGTGTCAGACAAGGAGACCCGATCTCTCCTTACTCTTTTGTCTTGGCAATGAAGAAGCTTTCTCATATCATTGATATAGCAGTGAATGAGAATCTTTGGAGGCCAATAAGAGCTGGTATGAGTGAACCCAAAATATATCACCTCCTATTTGCGGATGATTTGATGTTATTTTCTAGAAGCCAGTGAGGATCAGCTTAATATCCTTTTCAGATGTTTGAATTTGTTTGGAGGCATTTCTGGGCAAAAGGTGAATATTCAAAAATCTTATATTTATTTCTCAAAGAATACTCCAGATGAGTTAGCTACTAAAATCACTAAACAGAGTGGATTCAAAAGAGTAACAAATATAGGAAGATATCTTGGAGCAATGATACATCATGGTAGAGTTACTAAAAATTTATTTGCTGGTATAGTTGAGAGAGTTAAAGAAAGATTATCTAGCTGGCAATCCAAGTCTCTCTCTCAGGCGGGCAGAGTGATTCTTTCTCAATCTGTGTTGTCTGTTATGCCGTATTACTTCATGCAAGCAATATGATTACTAAAGCTGTCTGTAATGGATTGGAACAGCTTCAAAGAGCTTTCATATGGGGTGATACAGAAAGGAAGAAACATATGCATCTTATTGGTTGGGACACAATTACAAGACCAAAAGCAGATGGAGGGCTGGGGTTGAGGAAATTGCAAGTCATGAATGAAGCTTTCTTGGGAAAACTAGTTTGGAATTTTGTCAAAGATCTTGATCAACTTTGGGTGAAGGTACTAAAAGCTAAGTACACAAATTCATCCAATACTCAGACTGATTTAAATTGGAAGAATGGTAATTCTCGACTTTGGAAATTTATGTGTGATGTTTGGAATAAGCTTAAACCCAAGCTGGTTTGGGATGTGGGTGATGGATCTTCAGTTCTGTTTTAGGAGGACCATTGGGTGAACATTGGGGAAAAACTTGCAAACAGAGCTATTGTTCAAATTTCCCCAACAGAGGCTGGTAAGAGAGTAATTGATTATGTTACTCATAATGGTTTTTGGGATTGTGAGAATATATCTAATTTTCTTTGTGATGATTGTGTTCAAATTATTAGAAGTATGCTTCCTCCTCATGAATCTAATGGATAGAAAATGGTTGAATTTAGTTGGATCAGATGAAGTTTCTGTGAAAAATATTTATTTTACATTGCTAAATCAGAATAGTTCTAATGGTATTGACAGAAAATTCTGGTCAGCCATTTGGAATTTAAAAGAGCCCAATCGGATAAGTTTGTTCCTTTGGAAGACTGCTCATCATCGTCTATCAACTAGGAGCTTCCTGGCTAACTTTAGATTGTGCCCTCCTAGCTGTCCTATTTGTAATTTTCATGAGGAATTCATTATTCATATGGCACGTGACTGTCCCAAGATTAAAAAAGTTTGGTCAGATATTTTGAGGCCAAATTTGATAAATGATTTCTTTGATACTGATTTAGATTCATGGCTTTCATTGAATATTAAAAATATATCTATTTTGTGCTTTGATGCCCCCTGGTCGTTGGTTTTTACTGTTACTGTTTGGTTAGCTTGGCATTGTAGAAACAATCAGGTGCATGGTGTGGAAAATAACGGGAAAGCATACAAGGTGCAGTCCGTAGAGAGTCTGGTTCGTGAGTATACACAAGCCTGGATAACTTCTAAGGGGAAAAAGCTGACAAATAATTACATTTCTGTTCCTATTAGATGGTTACCTCCGAACACATGTTGGGTGAAATTAAACACGGATGGTACAGCCAGGAGTAATGGCAGGGGTGCTGCTTGTGGAGGAATTATAAGAGATGAAAATGGTTATTGGAAAGAAGGGTTTGCTTACTATGTTGGCCAGTGTTCAGCTTTTGTTGCAGAATTATGGGGCGTCCTTGATGCTATCCGGCAAGTATACCGTTTCGCATAAGTAGTAAAGTAGTAAGAAAGATCGTCTCCTCAGGGATTGAAAACCAAGTACTAAAATAATCAGTCACTTTAAGTTGAAAAACTTGATCTTTTGTTGGGAAAATTAAATTGAATCTTAGTAACCATAAAAGTAAAGACTTATTTTTTGAGTTTTTGTATTTTCAAGAATGAAAAGAAGAATAATAATGGAGTTGGTTTTGAAAATATGAGAAAGAATTGCAGTTAGGGAACACTCTCCCTATGATCCCCACTTATTACTTTGGATTGATACAAAATACTTATTTATATAATTTCTCAGATAATTATGATCTCAATATATTAATAATTAAATCCCAATCCCTTGGTAACTTAACCCTTTAACCTCACTTAGAATTCTAATCCCTTAGTAACCCCTCATGAGAATTAAGCAATGAACACAATAATTCCAACATCTGCAATTAAATAGACATCTATCCCTAGTATGCATACCAATAGTTATCTTATCTCCTTTCGAGATCAGAAACCCCAATATCCCTATTTAAGGTTCTAACCCTCAAACTATTTTCAACTATCAAATTGATCAAGTTTAATAAAGAAAATATCAAATACGCACAAGATAAGATAAAGAAATTTATATAAACGAGTAAAATAATTTAAATCAATCCGTCATAACAAGGGTTCATATAGGGTTGTGACCCTAACTACAATAAAAGAACTTAGCCAGACATAGTCATATCCGACATAAACAAATATTCAAAAGAAAGCATAAAAACTATAATTACTAGAAAGAATGGAGAAGAATTCTTGATCTTCAGTCCTCTACTGCTTGCTCCGAGTTTTGAAATTGGTTGCTTTGTTGTGCTCCCAATCTCCTTATTTATAACTACCGGCATTGAGCCCATCCAAGAGTTTGTATTTGATTTAAACTTTGTTTCCTTTTTTTCATGTAACAACCTTGGAGATTTGATTGATGAATTAGAATTTCAAATCTTGATTCAATCTTACCACAAATCATCTAATCTTATCTCTAATTTGGATAGAGATCTCATTGCTGAATCAAAAACTTGATTTTTATATCTTTTTCTTTTCCAAAATTGCCCCGTTGCAAAACACGGGGTCTGAGCATTCGCAAACTGACGCTCTCAGCGTCAAATTCACGCTTCAAGCGTGAATGCTTCTGTCTGAAAAATTCCTTCCACGCTGCCAGCGTGAGATCCACGCTTTGAGCGTGGATTTTGATTTTGCAAAATCCTCGTTTTGCTCCAGTTTGTTTGCTTTTTCCTACAAAATTAGCATAAAATCAGTATTCAATCCTTGATTAAGATTTTGACAAATTAACAGTGATTCTTGCTCTTTTTCTCAAGATTTCATCAACATTCTTTCTCTTTTTGGCTCAGATTTCCTTATACGCCAGGCGCATATCAGTCCTCAAGGGTCTTGAATTTGCTTGGGCTCTAGAGGTTGGAGACCCTGCATCTTAGAAAGTGATTCAAGCCCAGTTATCACTTTGCTCTCCAGTAGTGGAAGAGCAGCTCGAGAGTTTTGATTGGTGACTCGAATTCGAGCATGGTTACAAAAAAATTGGCAAGTTCACCTAGTTCATGTTTTTAGAGAAATAAATAGTTGTGCAGATTGACTTTATAAATATCCTTTAAACTATACTGTTGAGAATAATTTTTGTGTTTTTTCAACCCTCCCCCTGGTATTTGACCTTTGTATTGGGCTGATTTGTCTTTGTCTTGTAATTTCAGAACGATTTTATTGTTGTTGTTGTTAACCCCCATAGATGACCAATTTTTTTTTAAAATAACATATAAAGGAGTGAGTCACCTTTAATTTAGAGTACTAAACCAATTAAACATTTAATATTTGTTTAAAGAAATTAAATCAAATAATAAGTTTAACAACCGCGTAATAAATTATCATTAATGTAAATTAAGAAGATTATAACTAGCTTGTTATTAACTTATATGAGAGAAGTAATATTTATATTAATCTAAATTCATAAAATGGGATTAGTTAAGGTATTATTCAAAGAGACATAATGTAAATTATTGCTTAATGGAAACTAATATATTTATGATAAAAATGTGAATTTAAAACTTTTACTGACTTGCATTCATTGATATTTTACATTTATATTTAGGCATAAATGTAATATTGTATATGTGATTCTATCTTAGTTTAACAAAAAATAGATTTAACCATTAATTGAATTCAAAAAAAGTGATATGATATTTTTTATTTTATTTTCTTACTCAGACAAGGGCTACGCAACTCAAGCGTAGAACCCTCGTCATGGGAATTTAAAAATTAATGTTTCCTGCTATCTTATTTTCAAGTACCCTCAATTATATTTTTACAATATTATAAGATAACACATGCATGCATCGTCATTTCTTCAAACTAACTAAATTCGGATAATATTTTTCTCCGTGTGATAAGATAAAAGTACTAGAACTAGGAGAGAGAAAATCAAACCTAAAAAATGCTTGTGCCGCAGGAGATAATACTTTCCTCTTGGCAAAAAAAATTTATTTATTGTAATTTAATTAAATAATTACGTATTTATTGCAGTTTGGGGAATATATACGGTTCTATTGCACAATGTGACGTTTTTTTTGGGCGTCACATGTGACGCCTCATTTAGGCGTCTCTCACCAAGGGAAGACGCCCCAATGGGGCGTCTCTCATGAGGTGTTGACACGTATCATTTCTCTCTCCAAAAAAAATAATAATTTAATCATAAAACTTCTGAAGGCCATAACTTTTGACTCAGGTATCCAATTCAGATAATTCTTTTTTTGATTCCACATAACTTTTCGAGATCTACGTAATGACATATCATTTGATATATTTTAATTCTCACAAACATAATTTAAATTTGCAAGAATGGTACTATACGAGCGTTTAAACCTAAAAGTCTCTTAGTTCTTTCTGAATCAACACCAAACACACCAAAACCAAGTGTTTGAAAAAAAATAGTGTACAATGTTATTGAACCGAAATTCATATTGTGTATCGTTTGGTTGATTTTTTGTATCTTGAATCATACGGTATCATAAGTTACATCCTTCTGTTTTATGACTTTTTTCTTTAAAGCCATTTAAATTATAGCTTCTGAATAGTTTTCAAAAATAAAATCATTCTTACTTAGAGATTTATAATATTTATTTAATTATTTTTTTATTATACAGATTTTTCAAATTGATTTTTGAGTTTAAGTCACAAATCAAATCTTTATTTTGTTTTCCTTATTAATGATAATTTTTTAGATTTTTTTAAATTTAAATCACAAACCAAAACTTTATTTATTTTTTATATTAAAAATTAAAAAATAAGATTTTTTTTTTAAATTCAAATCGCAAACTAAATCTTTATTTTTTTATATTAAATTACAAATCTAGTACTTAGAGGCTTGTGGATTTAAATGCTCTTATAATACCATTCTTGCAAATTTAAATTATGTTTGTGAGAAACAAAATATATCAAATGAGATGGCATTGCGTAGATCTCGAAAAGTTATGTGGATTTAAAAAAGGAATTACCTGAATTGAATACCCGAGTCAAAAGTTATGACCTTCAGAAGTTTTATGATTAAATTATTATTATTTTTTTAGAGAGAAATGACACGTGTCAACACCTCATGAGAGACGCCTCATTGAGGCATCTTCCCTTGGTGAGAGACGCCTAAACGAGGCGTCACATGTGACGCCCAAAAAAGACGTCACATTGTGCAATAGATCTGTAAATATTCCCCAAACTACAATAAATGTATAATTATTTAGTTAAATTGCAATAAATATTTTTTTTTGCCCTTTCCTCCTTCCTATAAATATGGAACGTAGTTAAGTAGGTCATAAACCATAAAAGTTCACGTAACTCTTTCAGAATCTTCAAAGTAAACTAAATTAGGATAAAGAAATTAAGAATGTCTCAACTTGCTCAGCAAGAGAATAATGCAAATGCAGCGATGACTCAGTGGACTAGGGAAGACGACATTGCCTTTGAAAACGCCCTCGCTATCATCCCAAAAGCCATGCCTGAGCCAGAGTATTGGGAGAAAGTAGCCGCTCTTGTCCCTGGAAAATCACCGGCGGAGGTCCAAAATTATTACTGGGTATTGGTCCATGGCTTGTTAGAGATTGAGACGGGTCGAGTGCCGTTACCGCACTTGTTGCCGGTGCTGATGGAGGCCGACGGAGGTAACTATGGAAAGAAAAGGTTGACATGGACAGAAGAGGAACACGGGTATGTTTGTGTAAAGTACTCATTTATTTTTAATTATTATTTATCTCGTTACTTAAAATTAGATGTGTCAAAATGGGTTGACATAACATGAATTTGACACGACAAGGATATTTTTTTGTGGGTTGACAAGACATGCACGAATAACATGCAAACTAGGGATTAAAATGGTAATTGACAAAAATAAAATAAAATAAAAGAGCAAATATCCTTTTGTGTTCTCAACAAAAAATACGAAATTCATTTTAATCTTTTAGAAAAAAAAGTCTCTATTAGTCCTTTTTTAGGGACTAATATATGTCTTTTTTGAATTTCTGAGGGACAATAATTTCAAAAAATTGAAATTTTAAAGTGACCATAAATTGACTTTTTTTAAGAGATTAAAATGAATTCCGAATTTTTTTTTGTTGAGAACCCAAAAGAGTATTTACTCAAAATAAAAAATGGATTGAAATAAAAAAAATAATTAAAAATCTTTTAGTACTATAATAGTACTAAAAGATAATCTAATGTAAAAGACTTATTTATTTTTAATTATTATTAATTTTGTCACTCAAAATCTTGGGTTCGAATCTCAAAACAATTTCTTAAAGAAGTAGAAGGATAATTCATCTCTATCTTCAGGGTATAAAGAGGAAAGATTTTTCTAGAATGGTTGATTTACCTTATTCCTCCTAATAAACAGAATAGGAAAACCCAAACATTAGAGGGAAAATATGTTTCTTATCAAGAGTCACTTCAATTTGTTTTTAATTAAACTTATGATGGATTTTTCGTATATATATGTATTCGTGAAATTTTATGATATCTCTATATTTGTTTTTTTTGTGATAGGTTATTTCTCGCTGGGCTGCAGATAAATGGCAAGGGAGATTGGAAAAACATTGTTAGATATTTTGTTAAGACAAAAAATGCAACACAAGTTGCTAGTCATGCCCAAAAATACTTCCTTCATCTCTGTAACACCCCGTATATATCCGGTAATGTTATCATAATATCGTATTAAGCTGCGCTTAATTAAAATACAGAATTACTTTTTCTTTTCAATTATGGTGCCATTAACATTACCAACTTGCTTAATAATCAATTAATAAAACATCGCCTGTATGTAATTGCAATAAAACAGCTAACTGAAATACCTCATAACATAGATAATATAAGTGTGGCTCTAGTCACGGAACTACAACAACGTAGACCGGACCATCTAACAGTTAATCAACTCTAAACTACAAGTACTAACAGAAAGTGTCATGGACAATCCCCATGCTCACTCAAATAAGGCAACATGCCCAACATCAGTCTCAACAACAACATATCAAAAATAGCGGAAAACATAAATAGCATCCAAATCCAGTCATGCTAACAAATAAGCAGAAACAACATAATCAGCTAAGCTCCGGCCTCCTGCCGCCTGAGACATCAGTACCCATACTACCTGATCCTGAAATAAGCATTCCCTAAACGTGGGGTAAGATCTCTAATCTAGAAATCTCAGTGAGTCCTCAAGGATCTTCCACCCCAAGCTCACTTACATGTGCAATATAAGTTCAAAAACAGTTTATCATTTATCATTTCTAAAACAATGCAATGCAGCAGATAATCATGCCATGTGTGTCAATACTAATCTACTGGCCAGAGACAGTGCATGTATACGTCTATCACCTACACACCGTGCAAGTACCACTTGCATTCACCCCGGTACACCGTCTTGTATGGCGCTACATACTCAGGCTTCCCGTCAAGATGAAACAACACATGCATATTAAAAGCCATTACATGTAAAGTTCAATCAACATATCAAATATCCAAAAGCATGTACACAACATGCATAAACCATACCCCCATGGGACATGGTGGAACCACAACATGGCTAAACCGAGGACACGAAAGCTTACCTTGCAAGCTAACTCCAAAAGCCAAGAGTCCACAGCTCAAAGTCCAAACACAGCAGATTCACAATCTGTTATGGACCAACAATACATCAACAACATGCACCACAAGCATACAATATTAAGACAACGCCTTTCCATACGTTTAACGTCTTAAGGCTCCATACCAAGCCATAAGCCCTTAATCACTTGATTCTGACTTAGTTTAATTAAAACAGAAGTTCAACTTCATCAATCTAGGGTCCCCAAACCCCCAATAGCCTACTGTCCTCACAGCACAGCTACTGTTCTTCGAAATCCCATAATATCCGGATATTCCTCGGGACCATATCCGGATATACAATATCCGGATATCTCAAGTGACATATCTGGATATGCCATATCCGGATATCCAGAATCCCATATCCGGATATCTATTATCCGGATACACAAAACCCATATCCGGATATCATATATCCGGATATTCATCGGGCACATATCCGGATATTTCACGACAGAATGCAGAAAATGCATTTCGTGAAGATATCCTTCCAAGGTTGGGTTTTTACCGATTTTAAACACCTAAACATGCATTTCTAGGTGTGTTCAACATTACCCAACAACAAGTTATCATCTTTAAGCCTTAACATGCATCAAGCTTTCATTTTTAAGTTCAAAGACTCAAGACCAAAGGTGACAAGGCTTACCAAAACTCAACCAGCCAACAAGAGGTGCTCTTGGAGCTCAAAAGGTCACTCCAAGATTCTGTCTCTCTCTGCACACGAAAATGGTATACCAAGGTGGTCATTTTACTCAACAAGAAAGCTCCTTTAAGCTTCAAAACCCAATGAGCAAGGAGGTACTCCACCCAAACCCCAACTCAGAGCACAAACAGCCCACAAACAGTGGCCAAACCTCAAGCACAGCACCCTCACACCCTCTCAAGATGTTTCCCAAGTGTTTCCCAAGTGAAAGGATGAAGGAAAATCAAGAAAGATCAAGACTTGGTTCAAGAATGGAAGGAAAGGCCAATAGGGCAGTCACCAAGCAGCTGATCAGCTCCCTCTCACGTTGGTTTTCTGTTTTCTAGGGCTATGTGCCCTTAAAAATGGGTATTTATAGCCCAAGCCACTTAAACACACAGTATTAACTTTAATTGCTACGCTTAGCATTTTAATCCCAAATTTTTGATTATGAAACTACATAATTTTCTAAGATTTATCATATTTTTCTTATAATTTTCTGAGCACTTTTCCGGTACGCGCTTTTCCAAGCCAGTACCGGTTTCTAGCACCAGTTCTCATTATCTGGACTTGAAACTCGTTTTACAAGTCCTACACATTATTCTAATAATTGTCATGCACTTATTATAATTTTCCGGGATACTTTTTCGGTACGTATTTATACCGACTAGCAGAACCGGTATCTGCACTTTTCTTCCGAAAAGCGACTTTCAGCATTATTACTCACTTACTATAATTATTAAAGCCTCATAATAATTATTAGGGTCAATTATGGAATCATTTCCTAATTTTGCATAATTAATTAATTAAATACCTTAATTAACGGTGCGGGTTCTTACAATCTCGCTCAAGGTGCCCAAAAGAAGGAAAGGAAAAGAACAAGCATCCATGACATAACCTTAAATGCTGAAATCAACATTGTGGTTCTTGCTGATGATGTTCAAATGCTTCAACACTTACAAAAATTGCAACAGGCACATGAATTGAGGGACACACAAGAACATAATTGTGGATATGTTATTTAAACTTTTGTTGCATTTTGGTATGGATTTAGTTATTTTCATTTACATCTTTTAATGTTTTAGATGGTGGAAGAAAGGGTGCAGCATCGGCGTACCCTTTTAAAATTGAAGGAAAATAAATGCTTTATAATTTTTAAAGCGAAAAGTTACCTGGTTTTAGATTTGGAGGTGGTAGTTCTTATTTAAAATGTTTTATATGGATAATATATAGTCTATTATACTATGTTTGAAAAGGATTATTTCAGCACAAAGTTGAAAAAAAATTCTGGTGATGTTACATCTAATCAGTTGCTTTTATTATTCTTTTGTTTTTAATTATAATAATTAAACCGCTTGAATTCAAGTATCAAGTGATTTATTTAGAGTATAAACTTACTCTGTATGCTAACTCCTAGCATGACATAGAAACTATTTATGTTAGTGTCGACAAAAATAGGATGGGGCAACAGGTCTATTCACGTGTCATTGTATATTAAAACGGTGCAAATATCTTTCTCGAAACTCTGCCAAATTATATCAGTGACAACAGAAATTGTTTCCAATTTTATGTATGATATTCTTTTACCCTCTTTTCAGTACCTTTATAATTTTATTTATTTATTAATTAGAGAATTTAAGTATTCTATGGGATAGCTATAACAATATTCATGTGAGCCCAAAGACGCAACTTTTTATATTTAAGTCCACTAGTAAGCGTAAAAATTGAATCTAACCTTACCTCAACCAACTTGAGCCTTGCTAAGAAAGGATCGGCTAATTAAGTGAAATTTTATAGGGATCTTTTAGTTTTATCAAGGCATTAGTGTTTTTCATATTATAAGAGATAATTTTATCTCCTACACACATAAAAATGTGAGGAACTCATGTTTTATTTTTCTCTCTTCTTTTTACATGACCCCACACATTTTTATATGTGTGTAGGAGATAAAATTATATATAACTCCTTTTATCAATTATTCTACATCACTAGGATATTAGAGAAATGATCTTTGGTTGTTCTGCAAAGTTTAATCATCCACCCCAAGTAGCTACCCAACATTCTTGTTCTTTGGGAGATTTCTAAGTGGGTTGGTAGTTAATAGAAGTTTTGGTTTTTAGCTCTTACAACTTTTGATTAGCACGCTCACATGCTGATGTTTATTATGATTACAAATGTTATAGCTTTCTACATAAGGGAATTGGTACGTGTCAGCCAAGAAAGAACTGAAGCCATTGTTTCGGGACCACCAATTAAGTGCTGTATATGCCACGTACTTACGAATATTATGCACTCATTGATTGAAAATTTTTAAGTACTCCTCCTTAATAAGTAGGAGATTTCTCTTGCATTGCATTATTAAATATGAATTACCTTATTAAAATGCAGTTACATATTGGATTCCCCACATAGTTAAAATGGTAAATATTCATTAACATAAAACGTGCTCTAAGACCAAGAATACCAAATAATCTCTCTAGCAGCGCCAAAAACGTAATTGAGTGACAGGACAGAGACTTTGCCAGAGGATAAGTCAAAAAATCTTCGGTTGGGGGATTAGTCTCGTCCTTTCTCCGGTTGCGAAGCTTAGTGCACCCACTGTTATAATGAGGGGCTAGCCCATACGGGCCGTACCCCGAGGGCATGGTGCCCTGAGAAGGTTGAATGGGGATACCTCCTGGCAATGTACCCAAAAAAAAAAATATTTAACTTTGCAACATATTCTTTTCTAAATTATTTAGTAGTAAAGGACACATTAACTAGAAAGAATTTATAAAGTGAGTTGAACTGTAGCGAGTTTTCAGGACAAATAATTTTCAAAACAAAAAAAATGATTTTAAAAGAGATCCACAATAATAAGAAATTCAATATTTAAAATTATCCGTAGAGGCATTACAGAATATCACACAAATCATTGCTTTGTTCACCAAAAATAAAAATCACTGCTTTAGGCATCCAGAAGAGACATCCCAATTGTTATTTTCCACAATTTTTTAAGGATAGTAATTGGGAACTAAAAGCCATAAAATATTCTTTTTAACATATTTATAAAAGCAGGAGACAATAACGTCAGTTAGTAATAACACCAGAAGAAAGAGAACACTGGAATTGGAATTTTTCATTCATGATATACTTCTTGTTACAATCACTATTGCTCTCTGCACAGAAAAAAGTAAATTCAATCTTGTCCTGCCTCCTGCATAATATCACTTGCATTAACTGGGCATTTGGTGTAAAAAAGAGACCAGTTGATGGGGTAAACTGGACATTTCTCATAGCA